CACTCAGGCCCCCTCAGCAACAGCTCCCAGTCCCCGCCTCCAGCCCCTGGAAACAACTAATCTTTTGCCTGTATGGATTTGCCTGTTCTAGATATTTTATATAAGTGGGGTGGGACGATATTTGTCCTTCTGTGTCGGCCTCTTTAACTCAACATAGGGTTTTCGAGGCTCAGCCACCTTGCAGCATGTCCCGGGACGTCTCGTCTTCATGGCTGTGTAATATTCCATCCTGGAGGCCCTTGGTGGTGCAGACGGTCAAGCGCTCGGCTGCTAACTGTAAGGAGGGGTTGGAGTCCGCCTGGAGGCACCTTGGAGGAAAGCCCTGGAGATCCACTTCAAAAAACTCAGCCACTGAAAACACCGTGGAGCACAGTTCTGTCCTGACACACGGGGGGTCGCCATGAGTCAGGGTCAACTCAACAGCAACTGGTTCTGATGTCCCGTTGTGTGGATGGACCGCATTTTGTGTATCCACTCAACTGTTGATGAGCATTTGGGTTGTTTCCATCTTTTGCTTATTGTGAATAGTGGTGCAGTACACACTGGTGTCCACGTGTCTGTTGCAGTCCCTGCTTTTAGACAAATCCCCTTTTACGTTCATTTAATACACACTCATTAAGCCGTGCTGAGCTCTGGAGGTGCAGCAAGACCATGGCGGACACGGCCCACGGCAGACACGGCCCACGGCAGACACGGCCCACGGCAGACACGGCCCACACCAGGCACGGCCCACGGCGGACACGGCCCACGGCAGACACGGCCCACTCCAGACACGGCCCACGGCGGACACGGCCCACGGCGGACACGGCCCACACTGGACACGGCCCACGGCAGACACGGCCCAGGGCAGACACGGCCCAGGGCAGACACGGCCCACACCAGACACGGCCCACGGCAGACACGGCCCACGGCAGACACGGCCCACGGCAGACACGGCCCACACCAGACACGGCCCACGGCAGACACGGCCCACGGCAGACACGGCCCAGGGCAGACACGGCCCACGCCAGACACGGCCCACGGCAGACACGGCCCAGGGCAGACACGGCCCACGGCAGACACGGCCCAGGGCAGACACGGCCCACGCCAGACACGGCCCATGCCAGACATAGCCACAGCAGACATAGCCCTTGCTATCATGGTGCGTGTGGTGTGGTGAGGGACCCAGGCAACAAAGACACAAACATGAAAATCAAACAACTGCAAACCAGGGGTAGCATGGGGAGCTGGGGCATGGTCCTGGGCTGGGGCAGAGGTTGCTAAAAGTACTAGTTGTTATGTGCCGCTGTGTTGATTCTGACTCATGGTGACCGTATGTAACAGCGTAGAACTGCCCCATAGGGTTTCCTAAGCTGTGATCTTTATGGGAGCAAATTGCCAGGTCTTTCTCCTGCAGTGTTGCTGGATAGGTTCGAACCACTGACTTTAAGTTGACAATTGAGTGCTTAACCATTGCACCAAAAGTAATGATAATGCTGGCTTTGCACCCTTAGGTCCCAGCCTCACAGGAATAGCAGACACTGGAGCCTCAGGCCCAGGAGTGGAGACTCCTCCAACCAGGACCAGAGACCCCAGCGCAGGAGGAGAGGAAGTCCTGGCAGTCAGCATTTCCTTGCCTGCCTGCCTGGCAGCCTGATGCCAGGAGGGGGCAGTCTCTGCCTCCAAGAGCATGTGGAGACATGGGCCAGAAACCTCAGAGAAGGATGAGCTCTGCTCCTCAGTTTCCTTATCTGTGAAATTAAGGAAATAAATTACCCTGTAACGTCGTAGGAAGAGTCGTTGAGTCAGCACGCACAAAGTTCGTAGAATAATCATTGGCGAGCTCATGGAAATTGCTCAGTGCATATCTCAGTACCAGTGGAGTTGACCCTGACTCATGGAGACCCCAAGTGTGTCAGAGTAGAATGGAACTCCACAGGGTTTTCAGTGGCTGAGTTTTTGGAAGCAGATTGCCAGGCCTTTCTTCCGAGGCACTTCTGGGTGGACTTGCACCTCCAACCTTTCAGTAAACAGCTGAGCACATTAGCCATTTGCACCAGCCGGGGACTCTGCTCACTGCGTCTTGGCCCTTAATGTCCTCCCCTTTTCATTTGCTTCCTTTTGTGAGTATTTTGGGCTGTGGTTTCTTCTTTCTCTATGGTCGTAGCCTCTGGTGAGTGTGGAGGCAGTGGTGGTCCAGTGGTAGAATTCTCACCTTCCATGTGGAGACCTGGGTTTGATTCCTGGTCATTGCACCTCATGTGCAGCCACCACTCTGTCATCGGAGGCTTGCACATTGCTGTGATGCTTAATAGGTTTCAGCAGAGCTTCCAGACTAAGACAGACTTAGGAAGAAAGACCTGATGATTGACTTGAGAAAATCAGCCAAAGAGAACCCTATAGACCACATGACACTCAGTCTCTATTTGCCTGGAGCAACAGAGGAAGAAGGACGAGGAAATGGAATGAGGGGCTAATTGCCTCCAGGAATGACTGCCTCCTTTGCCATGAGACCAGAAGAACCGGATGTTGCCTGGCTAATAATGAACACTTTGATAAAAGATTCCATAGAAGAATCCTGATCAAAAGGGGGAAAATGCAGAACAGAATTTAAAATTCCAATGGACTCCAGACTTTCTGGAGCCAACGGGGCTAGACGAACCCCTGAAACTATTGCCCTGAGATAATCTTTAAACCTCACACCAAAGATATCCCCTGAAATCTTCTTAAAGCCAAACAATAGTTTAGCTTAACTAGTAAAAAATGTCGGCCTTGAGCATTAAGCTTTTCTGAAAACCATGTGGGCTCAAATCAACAACGACAACTTGAAAGATTAGATAGGAACCTTAGGGGCAGTGAGTTTATGTTAATGAGGGAGGAACAACTCAGAAAAAGAGGTTGAGGATGGTTACACAACTCAGAGAATATAATCAATGTCTGTAAATTGTACGGTTGAATTGGCGTATGTTTTGCTGTGTCTATTCTCAACAACAGAAACCCTGTGGATCACAATGATCCAGTCTGCAACGGATCATGGGGATGGCGCAGGATGGGGCAACTCAACAGCAGTTAACAACAATGAGGACGTAATTCGTCATGGGTCGATGAGGGACTTGGCAGTTTACGAGAGACTTTACGTCTGTATCACCTTCTAGGGCCAAGAGGTAGCTCGTGCGTGATGAACGAGAATGAGACATAGGGCTGAGCCTGTTGTTGTTGGATGTCATTTAGTTGACTGCTACTCAGGACAACCCCATGTGTTACAGAGCAGAACTGCCCCATAGAGTTTTCTTGGCTGTAAGCTTAACGGAAGCTGATTGCCAGATCTTTCTTTCGTGGTACCACTGGTGGGTTCAAACTGCCAACCTTCAGGTTACCAGCCAAGTGCAGACCTCTTCCGCCACCTAGTGTATCCAGAGGTACCAGAATGGCAGCAGCAGATCCATTGAGAACTCTTTCTGTGGAGAGGTAGGGAGTCCTTGGTATGTGGGGCGCTCGGGAGAATTCCCTGCAAACGTTTCGGTCCAATACTTCTGCTTCTCATGAATGAGGAAATACTGTCAATCCTCATTACTTGCAGACTCCATATATGTGAATTTGCCTACTCACTAAAATTTATTTCTAACCCCAAATCAATACTTTCATCGTCCTCTGCAGCAAAAAATTTAAGTCGCCGACTCGTGCAGCCCCAGCCGAGGTCAAACAAGGTGACACTCTGTCTTCTTGTGTCAACTCCGTACTGAAGTCAAGCGTCCTTCTCGTGGTCTGTTTGGTGCCACGGTTTTCATATTCTTGTGCTTTTTGTTGGTGATTGTCTTAGTCATCTAGTGCTGCTATAACAGAAATACCAAAAGTGGATGGCTTTAGCAAAGGGACGTTTATTCTCTCACAGTCCAGGAGGCTAGAAGTCCGAATTCAGGGTGCCAGCTCTAGGGGGAGACTTTCTCTCTCTGCCGGCTCTGGGGGAAGGTCCTTGTCATCAATCTTCCCCTGGTCTAGGAGCTTCTCAGTGCAGGGATTCCAGGTCCAAAGGACACGCTCTGCTCCTGGCTCTTGTTTCTTGGTGGTATGAGGTCCCCTTGTCTCTCTGCTTGCTTCTTTCTTTTATATTTCAGAAGAGATTGACTTAAAACACAACCTAATCTTATAGGTTGAGGCCTGCCTCATTAACATAACTGCCTCTAATCCTGCCTCATTAACATCATAGAGGTTAGGATTTACAACACATAGGAAAATCACATCAGATGACAAAATGGAGGACAGCCACATAATACTGGGAATCATGGCCCAACCAGCTTGATACACGTATTTTTGGGGGACACAATTCAATCCATGACAATGATTTTTCTGTTTAAAATGGCCCCCAAGCATAGTGTTGAAGAGCTGGCTAGTGCTTCTAAGTGCAGAAAGGCTGTGATGTGCCTTAGGGAGAGAGTATGTGTTAGATAAGCTTCGTTCAGGCGTGAGTTCAATGTTAATGTACCAACAATATACAGTATATTCCATAAGATGTATTTATACAGAGGAGCCCTGGTGGCGCAGTGGTTAAGAGCTACGGCCGCTAACCAAAAGGTCAGCAGTTCAAATCCACCAGCCGCCCCTTAGAAACCCTATGGGGCAGTTCTACTTTTTCACATAGGGTCACTATGCATCGGAATCGACTCAACGGCAACAGGTTTGTCTGTTTTTTTAATTTATACAGAAACACAAGGTCCCTGGGTGGCGCAAATGGTTTCAATCAACTTCCAACCTAAGGGTTGGCAGTTCAAACCGACCCAGTGGCGCTGTGGAAGAAAAAGCCTGGTGATCTGCTTCCATAAAGATTACAGCCCAGAAAACCACATGGAGCACAGTTCTGCTCTAACACGCACAGGGTTGCCATGAGTCCTCATCAACTGAACGGCAATTAACAACAAAACAGAAATATGCGTGAAACAAGGTTATGTGTGGATCAGTTGACAAAATTTTTGTGACCAGAGGCTCGCAGGAACCTGACCTGTATTTCTTCCGGAGCAGTGGATCGGTATTCGCTGATTCAGCGGCGCGCTGACTTTATGGGACGCGTTGTTTGCGGCCGTTGAGTTGGTCAATAACGAGCATTTACTGTTCACGCAGTACGTTTAGTGCGATGTCTCCCACGTAGACGGCACTTGATAAATGCCTGTGGCTCTTGTCATTATTTCAACCTGGGGTTTCTGTTACAGACTCTGGGATGACAGCTGTTGATCTGCCTGCTACCTACAGTGACTTCTTCCATTTCTTCCACCGTGACCTAATTCTGTGGGATCTGGGGGTGGGGACAGTGCTGTCTCGAATCCTTCTTGCCGCAGTCAGAGCAGCTTGGTAGGAGAGAGTCCAGAAGAGAGAGGAGGGCCAGAGGGCCGGGGCAGGCGGGGAGACCCAGGAGCTGGCAGGTGTGAGGGTGAGGGCGAATCTGAGAAAGGCTAGATGTGGTGGCTCCGAGGACAGAGACAGCTGTGAAGGTCTGAACTGAACCTTCCAGAATTTGGGTCTGCCAGGTTGTACTGGGTTGAATCACACATCACACATCTGGTCGCTTGGAGTTGATTCTGACTCATGGCGACCCCATGTGTGTCAGAGTAGAACTGTGCTCCATGGCTGTGATCTTCAGAAGTAGATCTCCAGGCCTTTCTTCCGACGTGCCTCTGGGTGGACTTGACCCTCCAACCTTTGGGTAGCAGCCAAGCATGTTAACCGTTTGCACCACCCAGGGGCTCTACAGGGTGGAATAGTGCCCCCCTAAAATTTGCATCCACCCAGAACCTCACTGTTTGACTGTGTTTGGAAATGGGGGCTTTGCAGATGTAATTAGTTAAGATGAAGTCAAACTGGAGGAAGTGGCTCCCAAATCCAATGACTGGAGTCCTTATAAGAAGAGGGAAATTTGAGGAGTCCCCGGTGGTGCACACAATTAAGCACTTGAGTACTACCCAAAAGGCTGGAGGTTCGAGTCCACCCAGAGGTGCCACAGAAGAAAGGCCTGGTGATCTACTTCCAAAAAATCAGCCATTGAAAACCGTATGGAGCACAGGTCCACTGTGCACACGTAAGGTTGCTGTGTATCAGTATGGACTTTACTGCACTAACAGCAACACAGTTTCTAGTTCAAGATAAAGAAGAGGGGAATTTGGACTCGCAGACACACACAGGTGGGAGAAGGCCATTTGAAGACACAGACACACAGACGCACAGAGAGAGAAAGCCACGTGACAATGGAGACAGAGATTGGAGTGATGCAGCCACAACCCAAGGAATGTCACGGAGTGTCGGCTGCCCCCAGAAACTAGGAGGAGGCAAGAGAGGACCTGCCCTCGAGCCTTCAGAGAGAGCATGGCCCTGCCCACTCTTGGTTTAGAGCTTGCAGCCTCCGCAACTGTAAGACAATGAATTTCTGTTGCTTTAAGCTGCCCCGTTTTTGGCACTTTGTTGTAGCAGCCCCAGAAAGTGCATACAGAGGTGCTTCATACAGAACGCTGGAACTCGTATGCTTTATAAACTTGTGTACGTTGGCTGCAGGCAAGAGTTTCAGCATCTCCGTCATGGATTGAATTACGTCCCCCAAAAAACATGTGTGCATCAATTTGGCTGGGCCGTGATTGCCAGTATTGTGTGGTTGTCCTCCATTTTATGATTGCAATTTTATGTTAAAGAGGATGAGGGTGGGATTGTAACACCTTACGCAGGTCACATCCCTGATCCAATGCGAAGGGAGTTTCCCTGGGGTGCGGCCCGCACCACCTTTTATCTTACAAGAGATAAAAGGAAAGGGAAACAAGCAAAGAGTGGAGGACCTCATACCACCAAGAAAGCAGTGCCAGGAGCAGAGCGTGTCTTTTGGACCCAGGGTCCCTGCATGGAGAAGTTTCTAGTCCAGGGGAAGATTGATGAGAAGGACCTTCCTCCAGAGCCGGAAGAGAGAGAAAGCCTTCCCCCAGAGCTGATGCCCTGAATTTGGACTTCTAGCTTGCTTTACTGTGAGGAAGTAAACTTCTCTTTGATGAGGTCATCCACTTGTGGTATTTCTGTTATAGCAGCACTAGATGACTAAGACAATCGCCATCTGTAAAATAAAACAGTTAAGATCTTGGTCCCAGCTTCCATGGGCCGCCGCCGCTGTGTGCCTCACGCTAAGCCAGTGAGGGCGTCTCTAGGCCAGGTGTTCTGTGATTTGGGGACAAAGCAGGTCTGGACTTCACTGTGTCTTTCTCTTTCCCCAGCTATGCCTGCCCAACGCCCTGCTTTTTCCCAAGAGGAGAGAATGGCTGTGGGGTCCCTGCCCCTCTGGCCCCAGGTGAGTGGGAACTTGCTGTTTCTCCTGCAAGGCTCCCTGTGGACCCCAAGGGAACAGCACCTGCAGAAACTCTCTCCTGGATGGAGAAGGGGCCTCCTGCTCTGTGGGAAGCTCGGGAGGATTCCCCTGAACGTGCAGGCCCAGGTCCTCCTTCCCGTAGGTAAGGAGATGCATGCAGTATGTTGAGCACAGTACCTTCGCCTGGGAGAGCGGTAAGGAGCCCTGGTGGTGCAACAGTTAAGCGCTCAGCTGCTAACCGAAAGGTTGGTGGTTTGAACCCACCCAGCGCCTCCGCAGGAGAAAGGCCTGGAGATCTCCCAAAAAGATTGCAGCCAAGAAAACCCTATGGGGCAGTTCTACTCTGCCACATGGGGTCACTATGAGTCAAAATCGACTTGAAGACACCCAACAACAACAGGAGAGAGGTGGGCTTCCCTTCCAGGGCTTGGAGGGTCTCTGCTCCTGAGGATCTGGAACCTTCTTCCTTAGAACAGGCAGGGGCTGCTGAAAAAAATGAAAGGAGACCTAAATGAATGGAAAAACACCCTGTGCTCATGAGTTAAGATGTCAATACTGCCCAAAGCAGTCGACAGGTTCAAGGTAATCCCTAGCAAAATAAGCAATGGCCCAAAGATTTCGGATGAGACCTTATGTGCTGGTCCTCGCCGCTGTGTTTACAGTGGGCCTAGAGTCTGAAAGTCCCTCTGTGAGCCAAAGACAAGTGCCCACAAGGCAACTGGCAGAGTCTGACTCTCGTCCTTGAGTCTGGATCTTTCTGAATGCCTCTGTCCTCACCCTTTTTCCCATGAATGTGGGCTGATTCCTTCCTGAGCAGGAACCTGTGTGATGTTTTAGGGATCAGTGACCTTCGAGGATGTGGCTGTGGACTTCTCCCAGGAGGAGTGGGAGTTGCTGGACCCTGCTCAGAGAACCCTCTACAGAGAGGTGATGCTGGAGACCTGCAGGAACCTGGTGTCCCTGGGTAAGACCAGCATCATTAATTCATGTGTTCATTAGCTCAGCACATTTATTTAGCCTCTACTCTGTATCAGGAGAAACCCTATGGGGCAGTTCTACTCTGTCCTGTAGGGTTGTTATGAGTTGGAATCAACTCGATGGCAACGGGTTTATGTGTCAGGAGGGATCCTTGGGTGGCGCAGACTTTGATTTGTGCACGACTACTAACGTAAAGGTAAGTGTGTTACCGCAACGGTGGGTCTGAGCCGCCTGCCACGGAAGCCAATATTGAGATGGGTGAGGTGAGTAACAACAGTGTTTTATTGTATATCGATATACAGGAGACAGAGGAGAACGAGCTCCTCCAAAATCCGCCTCCCTGTCTGGAGGTTGATAAGAGGGTTATATAGGAAGAAATCAAGGTCTAAGGAATCTGTGGAATGTTTGGTTCCACTCTGGAGTGGCTGGCCACATTAACCATGCTCCAGACATGATGACCTTTGGACGCTACCCTGGTTTCAGCCACAAGTTGATTTTTCCTTGTTCAGTACTTGTTGTTCTACCTCCCAAAGAGGAACTTCGGTGAAATTTAAACTTCTAAAATCATGGGAAAACAAGAGGAAAGAAAGGAGGAAAATAAATCAGAAAAAGTGAACTATGCAAGCTGGGCATTAACAAGACCACAATACCCGGGATGCTAGGCTGCACTGCTGACAATAGACGATAAATGTGAAATTCCCATGCAGCCCCTTTCAAGTGGTTCAAACCTACCCAGTGGTGCTGTGGAAGAAAGGCCTGGTGATATCCCGTAAAGATTACAACCAAGAAAACCCCATGAAGCAGTTCTACTCTGTCACACGAGGTCGCTGAGTCGGAATCGACTTGATGGCAACGGGTTTGATTTTGTTTTGTTTTGTTTATGTGTCAGGAAGGAGTCCCTGCTCAGCACAAATGGTTAAACACTCGGCTGCTAACCTAAAGGTTGAAGGTTTGGATCCACCCAGAGGCACCTCAGAAGAAAGGCCTGGCAATCTACTTCCAAAAGATTGCAGACACTGAAAACCTATGGAGCACAGTTCTACTCTGACACACATGGGGTCGCCATGAGTCAGAATCGACTTGACAGTACTTGTCAGGAATTATGCTAGGAGTTGGGGGTTTCTTGGTGAACAAGACAGACAAGACCGCCTTGTGGAACTCAGTCTACTGATTTCTTCAGCAGAATGAATGACCGTGTTTCTTCCGTATTTGATAGTAAGAATTGCTGTTGGAATGTGTGTCATCTTAGCTTAGGCACAGATACGAATCCTCCGAATTCTCTCGAGTCCAGAGCTGGCACATTTGTGCTCTCTGCCCAGGTGAAGATCCGTCATTTCTTAATTGTTGTTGGGTGCTATGAGTCAATTTCAATTCATAGCGACCCCATGTGACAGAGTAGAACTGCCCCATGAGGCTTCCTAGGCTGTCAGGAGCAGATGACCAGAGCTTTCCTCCCACAGACCCACTGGGTGGATTTGAACAGATGACCTTTCTATGAGCAGCTGAGCACTTAATCATTGCGCCACCAGGGCTGCTTTAAAATCTTTAGCTTGGTCAATGTGTTGTTGTTAGTTGTGGCTGCGTTGATTCCAACTTATGGCGACCACACGTGTGCAGAGTAGAACTGCTCCATAGGATTTTCAAGGTGGTGACCTTTTGGAATCAGATCGCCCGACCTGCCTTCTGAGGCACCTCTTGGTGGATTCCAACTGCCAACCTTTTGGCTGGTTGTCGAGCACTTGTGCTACCTCTTAAATGTAGTCTTGTTTCTTTCAGAAGCTTTGGATAGCCAAAGTACTATTACAGGAATTGAAGATGGTCAGTTTTCTCCACTATAATCTTCTCAAGTCACCTGTCTTCCCCTGTTGACAGGGTGTTCTCTCTGTCAACCAGTGGCGCCTCCCCACTTGGAGCAAGGAGAAGCCGTGTGGATGGTGGATCGTGGAATTCCCCAAGCCTTTTGTTCAGGTGAGAACCAGGCAGGTGTGAGCCACGGCAGGTATCAGCCCTGAGAGGGAAATGTCAGTCAGAGGTGTCTCCTCGAAAGCTCTGGTTGTATAAGGAGATGGCCAGAGCTACTTGGTTATACTTTCTGAGAAACCTTAGTGGTTGGTTCACCCTCCACCAACTTTCTCCTGTTCACAAATGATTGACTGCTAACCTAAAGGTTGGCAGTTTGAACCTACCCAGTGGCACGGCAGAAGAAAAGCCTTGGCAATCTGCTCCCATTAAGATGACAGCCAAGCAAACCCTATGGAGCTGTTCTCTGTAACACACGGGGTCGCCATGAGTCAGCATTGACTCGACAGCAACTAATAACAGCAGCATTACCCCTCTTTGGCTTTGGAGAAAGAACATCCCATTTTCTTAATTAAAGTCATTATACCTGTGTTTCTAGTTCCATCTCTTTCCCTTTGCTTTCTTTTTTTAAAAATTTTTTTGGTGGCATAAAACAACAGAAATTTATTATCTCTCAGTCCTGGAAGCCAGAAGTCTGAAATCAGTATTCCAATCCATTGCTGCCAGTCACCACTGACTTATAGGGAACCCATGTGACTGAGTACAACTGACCCATAGGGTTTCCCAGGCTGTAATCTTTACGGAAGCAGACTGCCACATCTTTCTCCCCCGGAGCAGCTGGTGCATTCGAACCACCAAGCTTTCAGTTAGCAGCTCAGTGCTTAACCATTCTGCCACCAGGGCCCCTGGAAATCAGTATCACTGGGCCCAAATCAAGGTGTCGGCAGGGCCGTTCTCCCTCTGAAGGCTCCTGGGGAGGATCCTTCCTTGCCTCTTCCAGCTCCTGGGGGTTGCCAGCATTCGTTGGCTCACAGCAGCATCACTCCAGTCTCTGCCTCCATCTTCACATCACCTTCTCCTCTGTGTGTCTGTATCAAAGCTACCTCTCCCTCTGTCTCTTTTTTTTTTGTAAATATATATGTAACAGATGAGCCCTGGGGGCACAAATTGTTGGTGCTCGGCTGCTAACTGGAAGGTTTAGCGTTTCGAACCCACTCAGTGGCTCCACAGGAAAAAGACCTGGTGATCTACTTCCATAAAGCCTACAGCCTAGGAAACCCTTTGGGGCAGTTCTTCTCTGTCACACGGGGTCGCTAAGAGTTGGAATCAACTCAATGGCACCCAACAACAACAACATACATGTAACAAAACATTTGCCATTTCTACAGTCTGCACATGTACAGTTCAGTGATGTTAATTATGTTCATCATGTTCAACTGTCACCATTAACCATTCCCGAATTTTTCCATCACCCTTAACAGAAGCTCAGTGTCCCTTAAGCATTGTGTCTTCCTTCCCCCATTACTTCTTGATAACTCCTTCTCTCTGCCATCCTCTCCTCCCCTCTTTGTAGATTAACTTCGTCTATATTTACATCTTCTGTTCCCTCTTTTTCATCGTTGTCTAGCTCCTTACCCTGTGTCTCGTCCTCAGCACACTAGCTTACTGATCTGTCTCTCCCTTTCGTATCCTTCCCCCATGCTGAAAGCTAATATTTAAACTTGAATCCTCATGTACCTAGTATATGTTGGAAGCTCCTTTGTCCTACCATTCTTTTTTTTATATATAATACATTTTTTGTTGTTGTTGAGAATATATACAGCAGAACATATACCAATTCAACAGTTTCTACATGTACAATTCAGTGACGTTGATTACATTGTTCGAGTTGTGCAATCATTCTTACCCTCCTTTTCTGAGTTGTTCCTTCCCCATTAAGGAAGCCCCCTAAGCTTCCTATCTAATCTTTCAAGTTGCTGTTGTCAATTTGATCCCATATAGATATATCTTAGAAGAGCACAATACTGAAGGCTGACATTTTTTACTAGTTAAGCTGAACTGTTGTTTGGTTTTAAGAAGACTTCAGGGAATATTTTTGGTTGGAGGGTTAAGGTTTAAACATTACCTCAGGGCAATATTTTGGGGGTTCATCCAGCCTCCATGGCTCCAGAAAGTCTGGATTCCATTATATTCTACCATTCTTAAGTTAGTGGCTTCTTTCTCCAAGCAACTTTTCCCCCCCAATTTATTTCAGATTGGGAGACTAGACTGGAAATCCAAGAATCGATTTATAAGAAGGTCATCTTGGGATGGAAACCATCCAGTGGTATGAACATCATCAAGTTCACCAGAGGAGATGGGGAATGTGTTCAATTTGAGAAGAACCATGAAGACTCCCAGAGGCTTTTGAGGCAAATGGCATACGTCCAAGTACAGGCATTTACTCAGATGAGAGCTTCTGTATGGAATGAGTTTGGGGAAAATGGTAATCTGAGCTTACACCGTGTTTTAGCACAGGGAAGTCCTCCTAGGAAACATTTCCATGAATGTGACCTCCATATTGGGAGTTTGGTATCTGATTCTGTCTTAAACAGTCATCAGGTGGGATATGTAGATCAGATACCCTGTAACAATAATGAATGTGGAAAAGTCCTCAGCCAAAGCGGTCACCTTATTCAACATGAAAGATCTCAAACAGAGGAGAAAATGTCTTTGTATGCTGAAAGTGGAAAATCATTTTGTCATAGTACGGCTCTTACTATCCACAACAAAATCCACATGGTAGAGAAACCCTACGAGTGCGTCCAGTGTGGCAAGGTCTTTAACCGCAGGCACTCACTCAGCGAACATCAGAGAATCCACACAGGAGAGAAACCATATGACTGTCAGGAATGTGGGCGAGCTTTCACGCACAGTTCAACCCTCACGCGGCACTTGAGGATTCACACTGGAGAGAAGCCCTATGTGTGCACCAAATGTGGAAAAGCCTTCAACAGGATTTCCTCTCTCACTCAACATCAGAGAATTCACACGGGGGAAAAACCCTACACGTGTGAGGACTGCGGGAAATCCTTCTGCCAGAGTTCTTACCTGATTTTGCACAAGAGGACACATACCGGCGAGAAGCCATATGAATGCAATGAGTGTGGGAAAGCCTTTAGTGATCGTTCCTCTTTCAACCAGCACGAACGGACTCACACTGGCGAGAACCCCTATGAATGCAATTGGTGTGGAAGAGCCTTCAGCCAGAGGTCTTCCCTTGTTAGGCATGAAAGAACTCACACTGGGGAGAAGCCGTATTGTTGTAACGAATGTGGGAAAGCCTTCAGCCAGAGCTCTTCCCTTATTACCCATCAGAAAACTCACACTATTCAGAAAACCTTTAAAATAATTGATTGTGGGAAAGCTTTCCATCAGAGCACCCACTTGATCGGATTTTAGAGATTATTGTTGTTGTCAGGTGTCGTTGAGTCAATGTCGACTCATGGGCGACCCCATGTGACAGAGTAGAACTTCCTGATCGGGTTTCCTAGGCTGTAATCTTTATGGGAGAAGATTGCCAGGCCTTTCTCCCATGGAGCCACTGGGTGGGTTTGAACCACCAACCTTTTGGTTAGCAGCTAAATACTTAATCATTGCACCACCAGGGTTCTTTAGAATTGCTTACTGCCTTGTAAAGCACTTTTTAGTACCCTACCACATAAGTATGCTTGGACTTTGCCCTTGTGATGTACAGTATTTCTTGAAAAGAAGTAGGCCGAATCTACCCAGTGGTGCTGCGGAGGAAAGGCCTGGCAATTCCATATGATAACAGCCTTTGAAAACCCTGTGGAGTACACTTCTACTCTGACACACATGGGGTTACCATAAGTTGGAATTAACTCAACAGCAACAGGTTTGGTTTTCTGGTTTATTCCACATTCTTGAAAGAAAGCACTGAGGGATAGATTTGAGAAGGAGCCTTTTAATGGGCGAAGTTGCCATTGAGGATGTAGTAAGCTCCATCCTCTTTGAAGAGATTGATAAATTGGAGTACTAAAATGGAATGGAATTCTAAGAAATACCACAGGTTAATTTAGTTGTTGAAACAAAAGTTATTCTGTTTCAACTTTTTGTTTTAACCTTCAGTATTTTTGTTTCAGTATTCTGTTTTGATATTTTACTTAATCATTCCAGTACTGTTGGCCACTTAACTGGGTCGTAATTTGCCTGATGCACTATTAAGGAAATACAGAGCATGTAATAAGATAGCACTTTGGCTGTTACGTGCAAAATAAATGGTGCACAATAGTATATGTCACTCCATCCAGTGCATTCTAAATATATGCACAAAGGGACAAAGACTGGAAAGAGATGTGGCTCAATGAACAGAGTTTATTCATCAAGGTTGTCTGATTATATGTACTTTCTGTCTTCTCCTATTTCATTTGTTTTGACAGTGAATAAAAATCAAATAGCATCAAACATTGAAAGGAGAGTCAGGCTTCATTGATCAGTTGGGGAGGATTGCGGACAGTAAGATGGAGAGAATACAGTAGGTCTTGGGACATGGAGAAGTGGTGCAACCTTTGGTGGACTGGGCAAGTCCCAACTGTGAAATGAACTTGGCAGAGTAGAGATCAATTGTGCTGATAAGCGTTATCATCATCATTAACATTTATTGGGTGCCTACAATATGCCAAGCAAACTGCTTCCATAAAGATTAAAGGTTGGTGGTTCAAACCCACCCAGCAGCACCACGGAAGAAAGGCCTGATGATTAACATCATAGCGATAGGATTTACAACACATAGGAAAATCACATCAGATGACAAAATGGTGGACAATCACACAATACTGGGAATCATGGCCTAGCCAGATTGACTCACATATTTTTGGGGGACATAATTCAATCCATGACAGTAACTATTCATATCACCATGTTACAGAAGAGAGAACAGAAAAATAAAGGAAATTGCCCAAGTTCACCCAACTACAAAGTAGTAGAATCAAGATATGAACCCAAGGAGCCCATACAATGTCAAACGTCCCATTTTCCCTTCCACAGAGCAAGCAGGTATACAGAGAAGATGGATTTCAAATTCTCTTTTAGAAGTCACCTAATATTTTTCTGAATCTTCTCATTTCCCTGGAGGTAATGAGGTTACCTGTCTGACCTCCTTTCACCCAAATGGGACCTGTTCACCTGAATTTTGTTGCCTTTCTTTAAAGTTGTTCCTAGTTGCCATGAAGGCATCTCCAGCTCATGGCCACCCCACGTGTGGCAGAGTAGAACTATGCTCCATAGAGTTTCCAATGGCTGGTTTTTCAGAAGTAGATCACCAGGCCTTTCTTCTGAGGTACCTCTGGGTGAGCTCAAACCTCCAAACTTTTGTTTATCAGCTGAGCATGTTAACTGTTTGTACCACCCAGGAACTCCGAGTTGTAGAGTATGGATAGTATGGTAGCATTTTTATAAAATTTGAATACATGAAAAACAATGTTATACTGTATGTAGCGAATGGCCTGTATGTGTGGCATGGGAATAATAGGCACAAAGTCATGATTATGGTTTCCTCTGGGTGAAGATGGAGGGGATGCACAGGCCATGTCAACTCTATGCATAATATTTAGTTTCTTTTAAAAAATCTGAGCATAGTATGGGATTTACTAGAGCTTGGTGGTAACTATGCGGGTATTCATTATATTATTTTGTATGATGGAAATATTTCATTAGAGTTTCAAAATGCTCCCCACCCCCTAAAAAAGCAACACAGAAGGTGCTACATCATGGTTATCATTAATATATGCTTTCATGACGAATGCAAAACTCAACTGTCCTAATTTTTTTTTTAAATTATTCTTTAGATGAAGGTTTACAGAGCAAATTATTTCACATTAAACAATTAATACACATATTTTTTGTGACATTGGTTGCCAACCCCACGACATGTCAACACTGTCCCCTTCTCGACCTTGGGTTCCCCATTACCAGCTTTCCTGTCCCCTCCTGCCTTCTCGTCCTTGCCCCTGGCCTGGATTTTCCACTTAGTCTCGTGTCGTTTTATGGGCCTGTCTAATCTTTGGCTGGAGGGTGAACCTCAGGAGTGACTTCAGTACTGAGCTATAAGGTGTTCGGGGGGCATATGCTCAGGGTTTCTCCAGTCTCTGTCAGGCCAGTAAGTCTGGTCTTTTATTGTGAGTTAGAATTTTGTTCTACATTTTTCTCCAGCTCTGTCTGGAGATCCCTGTCAGAGCAGTCAGTGGTGGTAGCTGGGCACTGTCTAGTTGTGCTGGACTCAGTCTGGTGGAGGCGGTGGTAGTTGTGGTCCATTAGTCCTTTGGACTAATCTTTCCCTTGTGTCTTAGGTTTTCCTCATTCTCCCTTGCTCAAGACGGAGTGGGACCAGCACAGTATCTTAGATGGCCCCTCACAAGCTTTTAAGACCCCAGACGCTACTCACCAAAGTAGGATGTTGAACATTTTCTTTACAAGCTATGTTATGCCAATTGAGCAAGATGTCCCCCGAGACCATGGTTCCCAGCCCTCAGCCCAGTAATTCACTCCCTCAGGGAGTTTGGATGTGTCTATGAAGCTTCCATGACCTTGCCTTGGTCAAGTCGTGCTGACTACCCCAGTATTGTGTACTGTCTTACCCTTCACTGAAGTTACCACTTATCTATTGTCTCTTTAGTGTTTTTCCATCCCCACCCCTCCTTCCCTGGTAACCATCAAAGATTGTTTCTTTCTCTGTGTAAACCTTTTCATGAGTTTTTATAATAGTGGTCTCATATAGTATTTATCCTTTTGTGATTGACTTATTTCACTCAGCATAATACCCTCCAGATTCATCTATGTTGTGAGATGCTTCAGATTCATCATTATTCTTTATCATTGTGTAGTACTACATTGTGTGTATGTACCATAGTTTGTCTATCCATTCATCTGTTGATGGGCACTTAGGTTGCTTCCATCTTTTTGCTGTTGTGAATAATGCTGCAGTGAACATGGGGGTGCATATATCTATCCGTGTGAAGACTATTATTTCTCTAGGATATATTCCTAGGAGTGGGATTGCTGGATCGTATGGTACTTCTATTTCTAGCTTTTTAAGGAAGCACCAAATCAATTTCCAAAGTGGTTATACCATTTTACAGCAGTGCATAAGCGTTCCAGTCTCTGCACAACCTCTCCAACATTTATTATTTTGTCTTTTTTGGATTAGTGCTAGCCTTTTTGGGGTGCGACGGTATCTCATTGTAGTTTTGATTTGCGTTTCTCTAATGGCTAGTGATCTAGAGCATTTCCTCATGTGCCTGTTAGCTGCCTGAATGTCTTCTTTGTTGAAGTGTCTGTTCATATCCTTTGCCCATTTTTAAATTGGATTATTTGTCTTTGTTGTAGAGGTGTTGGATTTTCCTGTAGATTTTAGAGATCAGCCCTTTGTATATTTTGTTGTAGCCAAAAATGTTTCTCCACTCTGTAGGTTCTCTTTTTACTCTTTTGGTGAAGGCTTTTGATTAGCATAAGTGTTTAATTTTTAGAAGATCCCAGTTATCTAGCTTATCTTCTGGTGTTTGTGTATTGTTAGTTATGGTTTGTATCCTATTTATGCTTGTATTAGGGCCTCTAGTATTGACCCTATTTTTTCTTCTATGATCTTTATAGTTTTTGGTTTTAGATTTAGGTCTTTGATCCATTTTGAATTAGTTTTTGTGTATTGTGTGAAATATGGGTCCTGTTTCATTTTTTTACAGATGGACATCCAATTTTGCCAGCACCATTTGTTAAAAAGACTGTCTTTTCCCCATTTAATGGACTTTGAGCCTTTGTTGAATATCAGGTGACCATAGGTGGATGGATTACATCTAGGTTCTCGATTCTGTTCCATTGGTCAATGTGTCTGTTGTTGTACCAATAGCCGGATGTTTTGACTACCGTAGCTGTATAGTAGGTTCTGAGGTCAGGTAGTGTGAGTCCTCCTACTTTGTTCTTCTTCTTTAGTAGTACTTTACTTATCTTGGGCCTCTTTCCTTACCATATGAAGTTAATGATTAGTTTTTCCATCTCATTAAAGAATCCTGTTGGTATTTGGATCAGGATTGTATTGTATTTGTAGATTGCTTTGGGTAGAATTGACATTTTCACAATATTGAGACTACCTATCCATGAACATGGTATGTTTTTCCATTTATGTAGGTTTGTTTGGTTTCTTGCAGTAGTGTTTTGTATAGGTCTTTTATGTCCTTGGTTAGATTTATTCCTAAGTATTTTATTTTTTTAGGGGCTATTATAAATGGGAAACCCTGGTGGTGTAGTGGTTAAGAGCTATGGCTACTAACCGAAAGGTCGGTAATTCAAATCCACCAGGCCCTTCTTGGAAACACTATGGGGCAGTTCTACTCTGTCCTATAGGGTCGCTATGAGTTGGAATCAACTCGATGGCAACAGGTTTTATTATAAAATGGTATTACTTTCCTGATTTCTTAGTTTTCTTTTTTGGTGTATAGCAATCCAACTGATTTTTGTATGTTTATTTAGTATCCTGCTACTCTGCTGAATCTTTCTATTAGTTCCAGTAGTTTGTTTGTGGAATCCTTTGGGTTCTCTATGTATAGTATCATATTATCTGCACATAGGGATAGTTTTACTTCATACTTACCAGTTTGGATGCGCTTTATTTCTTCTTTTTTGCCTTATTGCTCTAGCTACATGCTACTGTTTTACAGGAGTCCCTGGGTGGCACAAATGATTAAGCGCTTGACTACTAACCAAAAGGTTGGCAGTTTGAGTCCACCCAGAGGCACCTCGGAAGAAAGGCCTAGTGTTCCGCTTTCCAAAGGTCATAGCTTTGAAAACCTTATGGAACACAGTTCTACTCTGTAACATGTGGGGTCACCATGAGTTGGAATTGACTCCCCAGAAACTGGTACTGGTAATGTTTTGCAAACAGATATTCATGGTTTGGGATCAAGTTTGTAACCAGAACTTCATACATCCAAAAGTGCTGTATTTAGAACACAAGAAGAAAGATGATGTTCTCTGTAAAACTGCCAGGTCACTTAGAAAGTTATTGTAGTATTAACAGAGTCATGTTGAAGGTTCACATGGATAGTTCAAAACTGTTTCATGAAATATGAGATGGCAATAGGAGCTCCCTGTGCCACTTAGTAAGTTATTGTCTCTGTGCTACAGACCTACTGTATTGGTATCCTGTTGTTGCTCTAACAAATTACCTCACAATTCGTGGTGCCTCGAACACTCAGCTACTAACCGAAAAGGTGGCGGCTTGAGTCCGCCCAGAGGCACCTCAGGGGAATGACCTACTGATCTACTTCCAAAAGGTCATAGTCACTTGAAAACCCTATGGAGCATAGTTCTGCTGTGACACACATGGGGTCGCTATGAGTTGGAATCGACTTGATGGCAAGTGTCACAGATCGAATTGTGTCCTCCAAAAACTGTGTCAAGTTGGTTAGGCCACTATTCCCATTTTGTGATTGTAATTTTATGTTAAAGAGAATTTGGATGGGATTGTAACACCCTTACTAAGGTCACAACCCTGATCCAATGTAAAGGGAGTTTCTCTGGAGTGTGGTCTGCACCACCTTTTATCTTACAAGAGATAAAAGGAAAGGGAAGCAAGCAGAGAGTGGGGACCTCATACCACCAAGAAAGCAGCGCTGAGAGCAGAGCGCGTCTTTTGGACCTGAGGCTCCTGTGCTGAGATGCTCCCATACCAAGGGAAGACTGATGACAAGGACCTTCCTCCAGGGCTGACAGAGACAGAAAGCCTTCTCCTGGTGCTGACACCCTGAATTTGGACTTCTAGCCTACTACACTGTGAGAGACTAAATTTCTCTTTGTTAAAGCCATCCACTTGTATTTCTGTTAGAGCAGTACTAGATGGCTAAGACAGCAAGTGTTTTTTTGGCTTAGTGGCTTAAAACACAATCTTTTTTTCTTACAGTTTTGGAGGTGAGAATTCTAAAATCACGCTCTCTGCAGGGCTGTGTTCCTTCCCAAGTCTCCGGGGGAGAATCTGTTTCCTTGACTTTGCCAGCTTCTAGAGGCCACCCGCATTCGTTGGCTCGTGGCCCTATATCACTCCAGTCTGTGCTTCTGCTATCCCATCTCCTTCTCTGACTCTGACGCTCCTGTATTCCTCATATAACCAGTTGCCGTCCAGTTGACTCCAACTCATGGCGACCCCAAGTGTGTCAAGTAGAACTGTGTTGCATAGGGGTTTCAATGGCTGATTGTTCGGAAGTAGATTGCCAGGCCTTTCTTCTGAGGCACCTCTGGGTGAACTCGAATCTCCAACCCTTCGGTTAGCAGCTGAGCACTTTCACTGTTTGCACTACCCGGGGACTCTTCCCTCTTGTAAGGATCCTTGAATTATACTGGGTCCATCCTGATAATCCAGGCTAATCTTTCCATTTCAGTATCTTTAATTTAATTACACCTGCAGAGTCTCTTTTACTTACATGTAAAGTAACATATTCACAGGTTCTGGAAATTAGGACATGGACACATTTACCAGTACTAATAACAGTTCCTGTTGAGTTGATTCTGACTCATGATGACCCCATGTGTGCAGAGTAGAACTACTCCATAGAGTTTTCATGGTTATGAGCTTTTGGAAGCAGATTGCCAGGCCCTTCTTCCAAGGTACTTGTGGGTAGGTTCAAACCATCAACTTTTTGGTTAGCCCAGTGCTTAATCATTTGTGCCACCCAGGGACTCCACTGGATACCTTGGAGGGGCCGTTCATCTGCCAAACATATCTCCCTTTTTATGCTTTGCTTTATGACATGAAGCAAAAACTCTGCAAATCACATTTCTACTTTGCCAGCCAGCTTCCCATTAGGCTGTGCTAGTGGGGATACTAGAGAGAGGATGGAAACTTGGATTAGGGAGAACGGATTTCCTTCTTCCTGCAGGCTTCCTGTTCTTGACACTCCTTGCATGTTTGAGAATATCTTTGTTCCCTCTACACATAAATAACATCCTACCAGTACCAATTACTATTGACTTGATTCTGACTAATGGCAACCACATGTGTGTTAGAGCTCCATTATTCTCCTATGTGCCATAGGTTTTCAGGGGCTGAGTTTTTGGAAGTAGATTGCCAGGCCTTTCTTCTGAGGTACTTCTGGGTGGGCTCCAAACTCCAACCTTTAGGGACCTGTGTATGCATCACCAACAGACTCTGAATAACATTCTAGCGTGGTCTCAATATCCTGAATCACACTTCTATCCCGTCAGATTGCCATGACTTTTGTTCTGTCTGGCAGCAGTGGATTTTTGTAAAGAATTCAGAAAGCTCCCTAATTTTTCATCCTAATAAATGAAATAACATGCAGTTGATGTGTGATGCTCCCAGGATATATCACTGTGAACACATTATCACAAGCAGACACAAGTACTCTTAGAGGTACACGCTAGGAGGCAGTCTTATGCAGACTTAAATTTCAAGCTTTTTTTTTTTTTTTGAGACTTGTCATTCATTATTAATTCACAATAAATAAATTTGTGTAGCCACATTTTAAAATAATTTATAAATCAAAGGAGTAATTATTTTTTAATGTTAATTTATTTTTAACTCAGTTGCTTTTTTGTGTTAACAATCTAAACAGTAATTTTTCTGAATGCTTATAAAACCTTTCTGCACACCATAAAGTACGAATTTTAAAAATTCTGTTCATAAATAAAATGACAAGTGATATCAAAGTTTGTATTTCCACTTTATCTCAAACTAGATAATGTTTTCTGAAATGAACAGCTATACTGTATTAAATGCATTAGACGTTTTTGGCCCAACCTATTATGTGAATTAAGAGTTTAAGATCGAAGTCAGATTTGTATAAGCTTTTGTTGTTTTTTTCTTATATCAGTTAAAATAAGAATTTAATTGCCTTAGGACATCATAGCCTTTATCTTTCACAATTATCTGGGGACTCACTGAAAAACTGATCTAAAATAACTTTTCTTCCTGTGTGAAATGTCCAGCTGAGAATTGTAATGAACAGATCTGGTTTCTTCTGGTTGGTCTGAGAAGAGTTCCTGCGCCCAAGCTGTCGCTGCGGAGTCCAAACGTTCCGCTGACAACAACGGAGGAAGATGGGGCGTGGTATTAAACCCCGTCCAATTGGGAGCACAGGGGCGGAGACTAGAAGAATGTCCAATCCGGGGCTCGGGGGTGGGACCGTGAGTGCTATCCATTCAAGGCTGGGAGTGAGGCCGCAGGAGCGGTCCAATCAGGGGCACCGAAGGCGGTGCCGTCCTAACTGCCCAATCACAAGCTCCGAGGGTGGGGCGACGCTCGGCGAACGCGTGCGGATGACGTTGTTCGAGTCCGTCGCGGCTAAGACGCGTCTCGCCTGCTGTGAGGGGTCCGTGTCCCTGTGTCACCGTTCCATCGCTCTCTCAGATGCCCTGGTCTCGAGGGGGAGCAGGGACGACGCTCCAGGGTTCCCCCAGAAGCGAGACCAAGAGATGGTGAGCGCGGGAACGAGGGTCCCTGGACGGGGGCGAGGGGAGGGGCCGGTTCGGACCGGGCTGGAAGCGGCCTTGCGCGGCGGCCCCAGGTTCCCCGCCTCCACTCCAGGGTCCTGTCAGTCCCCGCGCGCAGATACCTTGTCCCCGGCCCGGATCCCCGCGTCCCGCACAGATCATGGGGGAGGGTCCGACTCGGTCTGCGGGATCCTGGGTGGGAGGGGCTCTGAGGACGCCCTTGTACAGAGCCAGGCGGGGTTCGCCCAGCAGGATGGGCGATGGGGCCTCCCGGGACCCACTTTTCCCGGAGGCTTCCGTATGCGTGGGCAGCAGGTGCCCAAATCCACTACCTGTCCCTCTGCCTGGCTCTCCCTAGGGCTGGCAATAAATCACCCAAATTCCAGATCCTTCCCGGCATTCCCAAATCCAGACTCCCCTCCTCCGAGTCAGAACATCATTACCAAGTACAGAGCAATGGATGGCTCTTTTTAAATGATTGGTTGTAGATCTCTGCGAGGATACAACTCAGCTGCCTTTTCTCGTGGAGAGTGGCGTGAGTATCATTATCTCCTCCCAGACGACCGCCACAGTGTGGGGAATCCCTGATAAAGCCTTTATGTAAAAAATAACCCCTTGGGCTCTCTGGAGATTTTATTCCTTGAACCCCAGTTTTCATTCCGTTTAGAGATACGTGAGTCCTCAGCTGACAGGATGCCAGTTATGAGGGGAAAAGACAGAGCTGATTCCTGCCCTCCCGGTTCTCAGAGAAGTGATGGGAGAAAAAGCGACCCAAAAGACCCGGAAAACCACCCCAGTGAGGTGGATGGAACACCCTGAAAAGCAAAGTGCACCTCAGTCACAGGGCAGGGCACAGTGGAGTGTTGGTGGGGAGGATGGTCAGGGAACAGCTTGAGGTGCAGGTTGGGGAAGGGGTGTGACACGTGGTAGGACATGTCTGTGTTCCAGTTTAGCTCTGCTCCTCCCTGGGTTTGCCATCTAAAAAGATTATTCACCCGTTGGAGACTCAGGTTTTTAGTAAATAGAAAATAAAAGGGCTTGCAAGATAAGCACGTATTTCCAAAGGGTCAAGAAAGATGCGTTTCAGGGAATTACAATGTTCCAGCCTTATATTTCATTTGTTAAAAATCCTGGTTTACCTTGCTTCTTCCCCAGAGGGTGTGCAGTTAAGTTTCTCAAGTCTTTTCTTTTCCATGATAACAAGTGGACTTCCAGGGCTTAGCTTGAGAAAATGCCATTGGGGAAAAGAATCTTAGAGAAACCGAGAAAATCTCCCTTCCAGTATGACTGCAGAAAAAGGAATACCTTTCTACAGAGAAAATGTGGTAGAGTAGATGAGTTGTTGAATTGCAACGATTCACCAAAACATCTTATTCGACTTTATAGGGTGGAGAGTTTGGATAATTCTGTGTCCTATGATCTGGCCGTCAGAGGTTAATGCAAAATCCTATGAGATAAAATTTGTAATACCTGTTGTTGTTAGGTGCTGTGGAGTTGGTTCTGACTTAGCAAACCTGTGTGCAATAGAACAAAACACTACCCAGTCCCGCACTGGTCCTGTAGTCCTCACGGTCATTGTTATGCTGGAACCCATTGTTGCAGCCACCGTGTCAATCCTTCTTGTTGAGGATCTTCCTCTTTTTCACTGAAAGTCTACTTTATTAAGCATAATGTCTTTCTTCAGGGACTGGTCCTTCCTGATAACATTGAAAAAAATTGTAACACCTGGAAATGTTGAAATAGGATTGTTTACAAAATATTTTGTATCATGGCAATAATGATTAACTGAAAGAGAATTTGTGTGTTTTCTTATTGGGCAGTAAAAGTTTTATTTCTTCTTTTATGCAGAAACATTGGGTTTGAGTGATTTTGTTGGAATCTTCAAACACTAGGTCTGTCTTATTTAAAATATCAGTGGTGGTCCAAGGCAAGTGAATAACCTTGACTGGGGTGCAGAGCACTGAAGTCAGTGACCCCAGGAGAAGCCAACCTTGAGCCTGCGAAGGAGGTGAATGAGGTTGGTTCTCCCCAGGGAGCCTGCTGCCATCTGCAGGTGGCCACGCACACCCACCTCGGAAGGAGTCTTTGTGCTTAGAGAAGCTCCAGAGCCTTGGAAAGCTGGAGAGCCTCCGGCAGACGCCCTTGGGGACGATGCCCCTTCAGAGGTTGTCATTGCCATTGTCTTGAGGCTGTTTCTAAGCAGTAGGTGTGATGTCTGCATCCACAGAGTTGGTGCAGCGAGCATGTAATTTGTACGTGTTGAGAAGGTCTGTGGGGGCAGAGGTAGGGAGGACTCGTTTGCATTCTGTCTCCTGGAGAAATGCTGTATGACTGAGATTTCAGATGTGCTTCCACATCCTATGCTGACTCAGGGAGAGTGCCCTCATTGGTAAGAATTGAAGCCGTGGAGGGGAAAGAAGGGGGTGTGGAGGCCTCAGAGTTCATTCTTGTGGCTGCTCAGGTCCCCCACCCTCCATCACAGGGACTCACCTGTTTTCGTGGCAGTAAGATGTGGGTTTTCTGGTGAGCGGTGGCTGAAGCAGGATGATTATCTGGGTTGCTTCTCGTGTTTGCTTTTCTTCCCTCTGAATTCCTTTCTCAAATATTGCTGACATAGAAGTTGTTACCCAAGCATGTTGTAATCTTTTATGCAGAAACATTGGGTTTGAGTGATTTGCTCAACGTGTAAGATTTTTATTTTGGGAGAAAATCTAAGTGGGTTGAGAGAGGTGATGTAGTAAAAGAATTCTGGATCCACAGAGAATTTTTGTTGATGAGAGTATTTATGTTTCCAGATACGCTTTTCATTTTGCAGATCAGCTTTTGTATGTCTGCCTGCCTTTTGAAAAATTTGGAATTTAAAAGGCTATATTATTCCTAAGGTAATTGAATTCCTATTTCAGTTATTGTGAGGGAAACTAATAAAAGCTTAGTTAATTCTTAAAAATCCTAAGATATTTGTCAGGTCAGACTAAAACTTCTATTATAGTAAACAAACTACTCATTCCTGAAAATACTCTCCAGTTTGAGGTAGAGTGGAAGTACAAACTCTGATGCCACTTGTCATTTTCTTTACGAACAGTTTTGAAAATTTCATTTTTGGTGGTTTGCGCTTTTATAAATGTTAGAGTTTAGAGGATTAGATTTAAGTTTCCTACATAGAAAAGCTTCCAAAGAAAAGTAGCTTCCAATTAAAGTTAAAAAACTATTAAAAAGTAAAATATGGTTTATATAAATTCTTCTGTTTATCATTAATAAATAATACATGCAAAGGTTAAACTCGATTTGCATGAAATTTCCATCTGATTCTTGTGGTTCTTTCCACTGATCTAGTTGTCCATCCCTCTGCTAACACCATACTGTCCAGATTCCTAGTGTTTTAAAATCCTTGATATATGTTAGACAAGCCCCCACCTTGTTCTTAGGACATTTCGGTTATTTTTGGACATTTGTTCTTCCTATTAGGCTTGTAGCAGTCGTATTTGTTAAATTCTAAAAAAAGTCAGGGCTGGAGATTAATGGACTTGTATAAAGACCCTAGGTTTCTCTTGGGGGAGCTGATATCTTGGTGACACTAACTTCTTTCTAAGAATGTTGTCATGTTTCCATTTATTTCATTCTCTTTAATGTTATCCAATAATTTTTAACAAAATAGACTATTTTTCAGACCAGTGTTTGGTTTACAGAGGAATTGTGCAGAAAGCATAGAGTTTCCATGTGTCTCCTCTCCTCTCCTGCACGCTGTTTCTCCTGTTATTAACGTCTTGTATTCCACTCCGTTCCTGTGGTACATATGTTACAACTGATGAACCATTATGAACATATTGTTTTTAACTGAAATGTATGCTTTACATTAGGGTTCACTGTCTGTGTTTTACAGTGTATGAATTTTGACCAATGCTTAATGTCACGTGTTCACCATTGCAGTATTGTACAGAACAGCTTCATTGCCCTGAAATTCCTTTGTGCTCCACCTACTCATCCCTCCTCCCTCAATCCCTAGCAACCACTGATCCTTTTACTGTCTCCATCCCATTGCTGTCGAGTTGATTCTGACTCTAGCGACCCTGTAGTTCTGCCTTTTCCAGAATGTCATTGAGTTAGAATGTTAGAGCATGTAGTTTTTTCAGACTAGCTTCCTTCACTTAGCAATATGCATTTAAGCTTCCTCCAAATGTTTTGGCGGCTTGATAGCTCATTTCTTTTTATTGCTGAGTAATACTCCATTTTATGGATGTACTACAGTTTGTTTATCCATATACCTATCCGACTCCTAGGTTGTTTCCAATTTTTGGCAATTATGAAGAAAGGAGCTTATAAACATTTGTCTGTGCAAGCTTTCTTTTTATGTTTCCATAAAATTATTGTGGTAAAATACACACTTAACAGAAAATTTGTGATTTTAGTCATTGTTAAGTGTACAGCTTAGCAGGTGCAATTTTTTGAGCCCCTCCCTCTGGAGTCAGATGGGTTGCAGTAAATTCCTCCAGCACAGAGTTAATGACAACACATGAAATGTCTATCCGGGAGGCTTATTATAAACTCAGTTCTCAGTTTTTTTATTGGCAGATGATCACGTAAGCACCCTCTGTTTAGCACGTACAAAAATTCCAGACTCCCAGAAGGAAAGCAGTGGTCCAACATAAACCGTATTGTTTGCGCGAACAGTTTAGGCACAATGAGCAACTCTTAACAAGAACAGTAGCTGGAACCTTCCTGAAATCCCAAGTGCTCACACACCAGCCAGGAGCCAGCCTTGCCAGCCGACCTTCGTAATGATGAGGAATCTCACGCCTATGGTAACTTTTGTGCACACTAGGTAACGGAGCTTTTTAAAATGATAAATCGCTATATATGGTTGTACCTGGAGCAATTAAGACTGACCGGGGGAGCTCATTTCACTACGTACCATCAATACAGGTATTCCTATCCTGCTGCTGCTCTGCTGAATAGGTAAACTCTAGCATCATCGTTGAGTCAAGGTCCAGAGTTGCCAAGAAAGACTTCAACGCAGACATCGGATGAAACGACACTTTGATCACCTGGTGAAGAGACAGAGCATGGTAACTTCAATAGTGGGCACTGGTCCTCCATGGCCAGGGGGTTATCCCTGCAGTCAACCCAGGGCTGGTGCTCTGCATTGACCCCTCTTGTGTTGGAGTTGAAGGACCTTATCCCTTCCCTCCGGGAACGTATAGTAGTTGAGTTGGCCAAGTGCCCTATGGCGTGCACACATAAGTAGAAGAAAGAGATATTCAGTAGGCCCATAACAGGGAAGGAGTTTCCCTGATAAAAAGAATAAACCGGGACAGAGGGAGGCTCAGTTCCCATCTTCCATTATCAGGGAATGACCAGACCCAAGACTTCTGATTAGTTGGTCCAGGTGAGGGGTGGCCGTGTGACAGACCGCCCTCCCAATGATCAGAGTTCTTGCATGGCAGTATTTTCTCTGTCCCCTGCGCATGGACATCAGTAGGCTGGTGATCTTTCTCAGCAACCAGGACTCGGAACCATGCAGCTCAGTGGTTTCTGTGTTCCCAGTTGGGTTGTCATGTTTGTGTGCTGAACAAGTCGTGAGGGAATGAGTGACATTGGGGTGTGCGTTAGTTGTCTACTGCTGCTGTAACAGAAATACCACACATGGGTGGCTTTAACAAACAGAAATTTATTTTCTCACAGTTTAGGAGGCTAGAAGTCTGAATTCAGAGCTCCAGCTCAAGGAAAACGCTTTCTCTCTTTGTTAGCTCTGGAGGAAGGTTCTTGTCTCTTCAGCTTCTGCTTCCTGGTTCCTTAGAGATCTTCATGTGGCTTGGCATCTATCTTACCCCATCTCTGCTTCTCTCGCTTGTTTAATCTCTTTTATATCTCAAGAAAGATTGATTTAAGACACATCCTACACTAATCCTCTCCTATTAATATAGCAAAGACAGCCCATTGTCAAATGGGATTATAATCACAGGTATGGAGGTCAGGATTTACAACACGTTTTGGGGGGAGACAATTCAATCTGTAACAGGGTGTAACCTCTCAAGTGGCCCTTGGGAATCACTTCTTCCTGGAAATTGAGACAAGGGAGTATGTTTTTTTGGAGAAAAACACTACTGAACCGTTTATATATTATGCGCTGTTGAGTCGGTTCCAACTCATAGTGACCCTGTGTACAACAGAATGAAACACTGCCCGGTCCTGTGCCATCCTCACAATCGTTACTATGTTTCAGTTCATTATATATTATTATTTGTTGTTGTCAGGTGCTGTCAAGTTGGTTCCAAGTCATAGTGACCCTGTGTACGACAGAACAAAACACTGCCTGGTCCTGCGCCATCCTCGCAATTGTTGCTATGTTTGAGCCCATTGTTGCAGCCACTGTGTCAGCCCATCTTGTTGATGGTCTTCCTCTTTTTTTGCTGACCTACTTTACCAAGCATGATATCAGTCTCCAGGGACTGTTCCCTCCTCATAACATGTCCAAAGTACGTGAAACAAAGTCTTACCATCCTCACTTCTAAAGAGCATTCTGGCTGTACTTCTTCCAAGACAGATTTGTTCATTCTTTATTGTGTATTCAGTATTCTTCACCAACACCATAATTTAAATGCATCAGTTCGTCTTCAGTCTTCCTTGTTCATTGTCCAGCTTTGGCATGCGTATAAGGTGTTTGAAAATACCATGGCTTGGATCAGGTGCACCTTTGTCTTCAAGGTGACGTCTTTGTTCTTAACAGCCTAGAGACCTTTTGCAGCAGATTTGCCCAGTGTAATACATTGTTTGATTTCTTGACTGCTGTTTCCATGGATGTTGACTGTGGATCCAAGTAAAATGAAATCCTTGACAACTTCAGTCTTTTCACCGTTTATCGTGATGTTGCTTATTGGTCCAGTTGTGAGGATTTTTGTTTTCTTTATGTTGAAGTGTAATCCATACTGAAGGCTGTGGTCTTTGAT